CCCCAAAACCCCAAAACCCCAAAACCCCAAAACCCCAAGAATCTAAATTCATAATTTAATAAATTATCACTTTAAATTCAGAAACCCTTTTTAAATTATGTATTAATTAATAACTTTCTAATTTGAAAAAATCAAAAGCATAATTCCTCTGTATGCATTTAAAATTGTGTGAAAAGTATTCCTATCATTAATTAGAATTTTCATGGTTATCATTGACACCAAAACTCAATACTTTGTTTTAGTAGACCTTTGAAACAGCATGCTAGAATATATTCTATTTTAGATTTTCCTTTAGTTAAACATTCAATTATTTGCTTTGAGACAAGCATTCTCTATCAAACTCTAACAATGATGATGATTTTAGGAGGTTTTTATATATCCTTTTATCAATTTAATTCTTTTTCTTCTAAATGTCGATCTGCTTAAGATACAAACTCAAATTATTGTGTTCTTTAAAGTATTGAGAATTTTGATTTCTGATGGTTTATTAATTAAGCACATTCTCTGACATGAATGGAATGATAGTTCTCTGATATTTAGATATCATCATTTAAGTCAATAGTTCAAGGTTTCTTAGTTTTAATATGATTTTACTGATATCGAATTCTGAGTCTAATTTTGACTCTCCCAATTTAAATAAACTCAGTTAATGCTACATCTTTTTGTAAGCTGAAGATGTCTTCATTCGGCAGAGTTTTAATTTTTAAAGATAAATCCTATAGTAGTTCATTTTAAATGGTTTTAAGCTCATGATATATTCTAGTATCTAGTCGTAATTATTCTTTCTTACTTAATTACTTTAATGAAAATCCCATGAAAAATCTTCTTAATACTCTAGAGACTATTCTAAACCTTGAATTTCTTTTTCTTAATTCTCATCATGAATTCTTGTATTTCTGTGAGAGCTATCCTATAATGCTTAATCAATTATTGTATTATCACTAATCTATTTCTTAGCGTTTGATCCTACTTGTTCATCTTTATCTACTGATAAAAAGATTTTCTTTAGAATGCTTGAATAAAACAACTTCGACTAAATTCCTCTAATCAAAATCTAAGCAGCAGAAAATATAATACTCATAAAACCTCCTGTATTTGAAACAGCATCTAAAATAGTAAAGGTTTGTCAAGATGCTGTCTCAGTTTTCTCATCTTCACTAATAACTATATTTGCTAATTCTTGATTATCCTTATCAAATTTTAATGACATTCCGAATTTAAAATTAACAGAGATATAACTTTGTAAGACTTGACTAAATGAATTAGCTACATATGATTCTTAAAGTACCAAATCATTCTTTTACACTTTAAAAATATTGGCATTCCTTTCTTTAGAATTTAATACAATAGAAAATTAAGCGTTTTACTTTTAGACTGGCTCTTCAAAGTTATTTTCCTGAAAATTTTAATAGGTATATACTATATCAGCTATTAAATTAGTAATTTTCAGATCTATCTCAGATTAAGTTTTGCATTTCAAATTTGAGTTAGGAAAGTTTATGTTAAGGATGGTTTGATTGCATTTTAAAATTTTTATCTCAAACTTAGTAAATTTGTCTGAGTACGGAGCACCAAAGATCTTAATATCTTCATCTAGATTAAGACATAACGTATTAGTTCCCAAGTACATATCTGAATCTGTTGTATAGTTTTTGCATGACTTAAATTAAATGAATTTACTTTCTAACGGGATTTAATAATCCTTATTTGAATTTATTTGTAAAGTAGCCTGAATTGATAAATATTCTAATGTATTGAAGTTCAACTGATTGTAATAATTATCGAGAAAACTTATTTTAAATCCAAAATTTTATCTGTTTAATGTAATTGGCTCTAAACTTCTATTAAAACTCAGGTCTTAAAATATAGATGATCTAGTAGTTGTACTCTTTTCTCATCTAAATACAGTAGCAAGTTATGATAGAAAATAAGCAAGAATGATTGCTTAAGTTATCACAGATGCTATTCCTCCAATGTGTGTTTTGAATTTAGATGAGTTTTTATAAGAAAGACTTATCGGGTGGCCAAAATAGTCTTGATGCTTTATAAAACTTAGAATTTATTTAAATTTTCTTTTCATTTTCCTCTGATTAAAAATAACTTAAAATTATTATTTATTATTACCAGCATTACATTATTTAATACTCATTTTGACTATTCTTATACGTAACATAGCAGGGGTTTTGGGGTTTTGGGG